GGAATGAGCGTCTACTATTTGTAAGTCGGTGATGATCATGTAGTCCCCTAAGTCCCCAAGCCAAGAGGTTGGTTTGAAGATTGGAAGGGAACGGCAGGAAGAGGTGAGTGAAAACTCGACCATGCGTGCCTGCCGTTCGGCACGAGAAGTGAGTGAAAACTCGACCCGTGCTTGCCCGCCATTCGGCACGAGAGGTGAGTGAAAACTCGACCATGCGTGCCTGTCGTTCGGCATGAAAGGTGAGTGAAAACTCGACCATACGTGCCTGCCGTTCAGCACATGAGGTGAGTGAAAAACTCGACCGGTGCGTGCCTGCCGTTCGGCACGAGAGTTGAGTGAAAACTTGACCCGTGCGTGCCTGCCGTTCGGCACGATAGGTGAGTGAAAACTCGACCGTACATGCCTGCCATTCGGCACAAGAGTTGAGTGAAAACTTGACCCGTGAGTGCCTGCCGTTCGGCACGAGAGGTGAGTGAAAACCCTGCCGTTTGGCACGAGAGTTGAGTGAAAACTCGACTTGTGCGTGCCTGCCATTCAACACGAGAGGTGAGTAAAAACTCGAGCATGCGCCCCTGTCGTTCGGCACGAGAGTTGAGTGAAAACTCGACTCGTGCGTGCCTGTCGTTCGGCACAAGAGGTGAATGAAAAACTCGACCATGCGTGTCTGCCGTTCGGCACGAGAGTTGAGTGAAAACTCGACCCGTGTGTGTCTGCCGTTCGGCACGAAAGGTGAGTGAAAACTCGACCATGCCGATTCACTCGACCATGCCCGCCTGCCGTTCGGCACGAGAGGTGAGTGAAAACTCGATCGTGCGCACCTGCCGTTCGGCACGAGAGGTAAGTGAAAACTCGACCCGTGCGTGCCCGCCGTTGGGCGAGAGATGTGAGTGAAAACTCGACCTATGCGTGCCTGCCGTATGCTGGGAAAGTTGTGCTCTGTCTCAAAAATGAGAAGAAGGGAGAAGTCAAAACGTTCGAAGTGTAGACGCAAGTGGGGAGGTGAGGGCAGTTGAACTCCCCTGTGCTTGGGTGACACGTGTCGGCAAGGCTACGAAGACTTGTGATGTTTCGATTCACGATGCTAGGCTTGTCCTATAAATTGAAGGAAGAGGCGGTAAGAGGAGGTACTTGAGGTTCTGAGAGCAAATGGAGCTTGTGAAAGGCGATTTTTGACGAGTGCATTGCGGTGTTGTAGGTGATTTCCAGCGAGTGTTTGCAAAGGCAGAGCGATTTCTGGCGACTTCCACCACCGTGCAAAACAAGGTATGGTAATGTTTTCCCGCCTAGCATGAATCAAATGCTTGTATATTTGCATGAACACGTATGAACACGTAAGAACACGTAAGAACATAGATGATCGTAGATGAACAACAGCTTTAGGGCTCTAGGATAGGGGTTTGATTCGAGCATGTCGTTTAGTTTTGCTTTGCTTTTGTTTGTAGATGTCAGACACCAAATCAGACTATAGGCGTAGCCCAAGAGCGTTTGATGGAGAATCGGCATTAGAGAGCTCGACCGCAGGGCTTGATAGTGCCGATTTCGAGGAGACCGAGAGAGGAGAAGTGCTGGAGGTGTCTACTAATACGGGATCACTTCAAGTGTGGAAGTAGTGGGGGCAGACGACGCCCACTCGTCGACATCTGGTCGTCAAATGGGAGAGGGCGAGGCGATGTGTCGGTTGCCGATCCTAGGGAAGGCGTGCTGACGGTGGTCATCGGCCGACAAAGGATACCGACGGCAAAGCCAAAGGACCTTGTGTTCGGGGTGTCTTCAAGCACAGGCTTAGGCTACCGCTGAGACATTCGGTACAGAAGATCCTGGCAGCGATTGGCTACGCCCCTGGGCAGTTTAATCCAAATTTTTGGATTACATTCTTGGGGATGGTCACGACCTTCGGCATAGCTGGTGAGGGGGAGCCGAGCTATGAGCAATTCGCCCATCTGTACAGTGTGACGAGGGCGAAGAGCGCCGATCAAGGGGGTGGGTGCAGTCGAACTGTCTATCTGCGGGGCAGAGGGGGCACTTCGTAGTCAGGGTGCCGACCTCGCAGAAGACCTGGCGTCGGCGTCGGGTGTTGGTGTCCGGAGCTTGGGAATCGGCGCTGGGAGTGATTCTGGAGAGGCATATCCCCACTTCCTTCCAGACATTCGATAGGCCCATGGGGTGCCGTTCAGTAGTAATAGCGCCATAGACGTGATCGCTACGTAATAGCCCCATGGGGTGCCGTTCAGTAGTAAAACCGAAGCTAACTGGAGGTTGTATTTTTGTGTTTCAGTGTCCTTGAAACGGCCGATCGCTACGAAGTGGGAGATAGACGTGATCGAGCGCGTTCGGTCAAGAATAGCTTAGGAGGGTCGTGTGCACAAGGCTCTGCTAGACTACAAGAACCTGTTCAAAGCGGGTCTGATCAGCGATCCTGAGTACCTCCGAGCGCTTTCATTGTTTCATTTTATTGTGGCGTATGCCGAATCTGCCCTAACTCCCCTTTATTTTGTGCAGTGGCAGGAGGGAGGGCAATGTCCGAAGCTATGAGGAAGAGGCTCGAGTCGCGGGCCCCTCATAAGAAGAAAACCGTTCCTTGAGGCCGAATACGAAGACGCCCTGCCAGGCCGAGGGTGCGTCGGCACAGGAGGGCACGCCGAGCGATCAGCGGCGGGAGAGAAGGGTGGCGGCCCATCTCCAGGTGACCGAAAAAAGGGTGATCGAGGGTGCCCTCGATGTGACCCCTCTACCGAAGAGGCCAAGGGGGCCGAACGAGGAAGCAACCGTCCTCATGTCGGACTAGGAAGACGCCGAAGCGGAGCCGGTGAACATCGCCTGCCCCCGAAAAGTGGTACCGTTCGTGAACTGCTTTATCGACAGTGCTCAGATGGAGCTCCCGTAGTTGGAGTAGCTGCCAAAGAAGTCGGTGCACGAACAGGCCGGACGTGCCTTCCGCCTCTAAGCTGTCGTAAGTGTGCTTACCTTAGTTTTGTCCAAGGGTTAAGGTGATGGGAAAGTGCTAACATTTGTGTTGTTTTGCAAGCTAACATGGAGATGTGGCTCGGCATGAAGCGGGCTATCAACGCGGCCAAGCACGTCCAGAAGAAGTACAAGGAGGGCTAAGCCAAAATTGCCGAGGCTGAGAAGCTACTCCAGGGTGCGGATCTGCATGTGAAGGAGAACGCTGCCAAGATAACCGAGCTATCCTCCAAGTTGGCAGAGGCCGAAAGGGCGACAGTGGATGCCAAAGAGGCGAGGGCGAGGGCAGAGGCAACGAAGGAGGCTGAGCTTCGGTCTCGGGCAACAGAGTTGGAGGAGGCCAAGAAACAAGCCATAGCTGAGTATCGAAACTCGTCGGAGTTCGTGGCATTTCTGGACAATGAGGTGATGGTGCAATGCGAGGATCTCATCTACCGGTTCAAGCACTTCAATGTCGATAAAAAACTGAACCTGAACTTTGTCCGAGATCCGCCGCCGTTGCCCGAGAGGCGTACCTCGGGGAGGATGCCGAAGTCGATTCCTCGAGCGGCTCAAAATCGGACGGTGAGGAGGAAGAATCGACTCCCCCTGCAGAGCTGTTGAGTGCCCGAGAGGATGAGGGGCCGGCACCGCCCGCTTCTACTACCGAGGCCGATCCACCAACTCCTTGACTGCTGCCCTACTTGTCTTTTTTTTTATTGTAATATATAAAATTAGTGTTTGGATATTGAGGCCGTTCGGCCAATTTTGTAAAGACAATTGCCCAGCTTGAGGCTTTAATCATATCCAAGTCTAATTTGAATCAGCTTCAGTGTTTGTCCTTGTTGCTGAATATAAGCATGTATGCTGAATTGTGTACAAAAGTGTAGTGGCCGAAGGTCCAATCACTTGTGATAGAATTTTAAATGTTCGACATTCCAAGGGTGGCCGAGGGTTTGATCATCAAAGCCGCGTAATCTGTAGCTGTCGAGTCGGCAGATGCTGACAATTTCATAGGGTCCTTCCCACGAGGGGCCGAGAGTGCCTTCGGTAGGATTTCTCGTTGCTAGAGACACATTACGCAGAACCCAGTCCCTTATCTTGAACGATCGGTGTTTTAGGCGCGAGTCGTAATACCAAGTCGTTCGTTGTTTGTAGGTAGCGTTCCAGAGCTGTGCTTGCGATCGATGTTCGTCAATGAGATCCAGACTGAGGGCGAGCTACTGTTCATTCTGCTGAGGGTCGTAAGATGCCGTTCGGCATGTGGGCGCATGTACTTCTATCTGTACGACAGCTTCAGTACTGAAGGCTAGGGAGAACGGTGTCTCACAAGTTGACCTTCAGTAGGAGGTATTGATGGCCCATAGTGCTTCTGGTAGTATGGTAGGCCAATTGCCCTTGGCGGCTCCGAGCTTCTTCTTCAATGTTTTCTTGATGATCTTGTTGATGGCTTCTACCTGCCCATTGGATTGTGGATGTGCCGGAGATGCAAAGAAGATGCTGATATTGAATCGGGAGCAGATTTGCCAAAATCGTGAGCAGTCAAATTGCTTGCCGTTGTCCGTTACGCTGGCGTTTGGTAGGCCGAATTGGCATAGGATGTTTTTCCATACAAAGTGTTCGATCTTAGCTGTTGTTATTGTTGTGATTGCTTCGGCCTCAGTCCATTTGGTGAAGTAATCGACGGCTATGATTGCGAATTTAAGCTGACCCATACCTTGCGGAATTGGGCTGATGAGATCGAGCTCCCATTAGGCGAATGGCCACGGGCTAGTCATCGGACTGAGTGGTTCGACAGGGACTTTCGATACAGATCCGAAACGTTGGCACGGACCGCACCTTTGCACAATCTGGATCGCGTCAGCGTGGAGAGTTCGCCAATAATAGCCTTGCCGAACGGCCTTGAAGGCCAAGGATCGGGATCCTGAGTGGTCACCACACGTGCCTTCGTGTATCTCATGCAAGATGTAGTCTCCTTGTTGTGGTGTAACACAACTCAGCAACGGTAGGGAGTAGCTGCGCCGATAGAGGATGCCTTGCAACAGAAGGTAGCGAGCCAATCATCGTCGTACTGTCTTTGCTTCGGCTTTGTCAGTTGGTAGGATGTCGTCGGTGAGGTGGGCGTGGATTGGGTCCATCCAACTAGGGTCCTGACGGATGGTGTTGACATCGGCTTCGGCCGTGCTCCGCCGAGCGAGAACTTTTATGGGGACGTGGCGTCCGACACGGTTGTCGATTGTCGAAGCGAGCCTAGAGAGAGCATCGGCGTGGCTGTTCTCAGATATGGGGACCTGGCAAATGTAGTAGGTTTTGAACCTTTTGAGCAATCGGCGGGTCTGCGTAAGATAGGCAGCCATTGATTCGTCTTTTGCTGCGAATTCGGTGATTACATGGTTGACGACGAGTTGGGAGTCTCTACATATCATCAGTCGTTCAACACCCGAGCTTTGGGCAAGCCGAAGGCCTGCTAGGAGCGCCTCGTATTCGGCCTCATTGTTAGAAGCACGAAATTGGAAGCTGATAGCATATTCGATTGTGGTGTCATCTGGAGTCTTGAAGACTAGGCCTGCGCCGCTACCCTGCCGATTGGATAAGCCGTCTACGTATAATGTCCAGTGAGGGCTGTTTTGATCGAACGTATTGTCGGCCGAAGGTGAATCTACAGATGTCGAAGGTGGTGCCGTGACAGAGTTGAGTGGTTGACCATCGTTGGTTAGAAATGTGAATTCTGAGATGAAATCGGTCACGGCCTGTCCTTTTTCAGAAGGCCGAGGGTGATACCTGATGTCTAACTCGCCAAGCTCGATGGCCCATTTGATCAGTCGTCCTAATGTCTCTGGCTTCTGCAAGACTTGCCGTAGGGGTTGATTGGTTAATACACCGATGCTGTGAGCCTGAAAGTAGGGCCGAAGTTTGCGCGCAGAGAGGACGAGAGCGTAGGCCAACCGTTCAAGTTGGGGGTACCGTTGCTCTCCGTCCTGTAATGCATGGCTCATATAAAAGATAGGGAGCTCAATGCAGTTTGGTCGACGGATGAGCACAGAACTCAGGGCCGATGCCGAGACTGAGAGATAGATGATGAGGTCATCTCCGAGAAGAGGGGTGGATAGCAGAGGAGCTCTGCTCATGTAGGCTTTAAGAGTCCAATCGACCTGCCGTTTGCTCCCTTTGAGAGCTTTGAAGAAAGGGGTGCACCCATCGGTGGCCTTCGATATGAAACGGGCCAAGGCAGCGACTCGACCGATGAGGCTCTGAACCTCTTTCTTCATCCTCAGCACCTGCATATCGATGAGCGCTCGGATATTCTCGGGGTTGACTTCAATCCCCCTTTGGTTGATCATGAAGCCCAGGAATTTGCCGGAAGAGACGCCGAAAGCGCTTTTGTTCGGGTTCAGGTGCATTTTGTATTTTTTCAGCTTGTCGAACATCAGTGAGAGGTTTCAAAGATGATCACCGGCAGTCCGACTTTTGACTAGCATATTGTCTATGTAGACTTCCATTGAAGTGCCAATGAGTTCGGCAAAGATTTTGTTAACCAGTCTCTGGTATGTAGCTCCAGCATTCTTTAGGCCGAACGGCATGACGTTGTAGCAATAAATCCCTCTGTCCGAAATGAATGTCGTATGCTCACGATCCATAGGAGGCATGAAAATCTAGTTGTAGCCAGAGTAGGCGTCCATGAAGCTGAGGAGCTCATGACCAGCCGTGGCGTCCATCAGTTGATCAATTCTTGGTAGTAGAAAGCTATCCTTCGGACATGCTTTATTCAGATTGGTGTAATCCTGGCACATTCGCCAGGCGCCGCCGGATTTCTTCACCAAGACTGAGTTGGCGAGCCAAATGGGGTAGGTGACTTTGCAGATGAAGCCGATTGCCTGAAGCTTGTCTACTTCGATCTTCATGGCCTCGTATCGTTCAGCGTCATAGGATCGTCTCTTCTGTCTGACCAGCTTGAAAGAAGGGGAGATGCTGAGCTTGTGGCTGATGACGTCCCGGGAGATCCCAGGCATATCGTTGTAAGACCAGGTGAAAACTTCCGAATTGGCCCTTAAAAAGGTAATGAAGTCGGTTCGGAGAGACGGACTGAGGGAAGTGCCGATTCGGACCTGCTGATCCTGTGCGTCTTAGATGGAGATCGTTTTGAGCTCTTCGACAGGTTGAGCTTGCGGTGTGACCTTATCATCTCGGGGGTCGTCGGGACGTTTGGTCCCTCCTTTGCCATTCGGCATGCTTGGGCAGGTAACGGCCAGTGTTTCGGGCAGCCTTTGCCCTGACGTCCGGGTTGCTGATTCCGTCGTGGATGACACGTAGCATATCCGTGCGCTCAATTGGTCCCCTCGAACCTGACCGACTCCTGAGTGTGTTAGGAATTTAAGCAGCAGCATATGTGGTGACAAAATGGCTTTCATTCGGGTGAGGGCGGGCCTGCTGACGATGGCGTTGTATGAGGTCGGACAGTTGACTACTAGGAAGGAAGTGTAGATGAAAGCCCTTCTGAAGCAGGAGCCGACGGCAAGAGGAAGCTGGATGCTCCCGATTGGCTCGACCACATCGCCCGAGAAGCTTAGAAGAGGAGTGATCTCCTTCTTCAGGCTTTGATACTCCCGAAGAGGCTCACTGTCTCCTTACCGAATGGTGTAGAGGCCGTCGGCAGAGTATAGACGATCGGTCTGTATCATAAAATGATTGAGGAAAATTTGTTTCAACTGGTCGAAAGAATCTACCGTACCTGGTTCCAGCAGATAAAACCAATTCAGAGCTGCCCCAGCCAAGGTAGATGGGAACAACAGGTATTGGCCTTCATCGGTGAGTCCCTTGCAACCCAAGGCCGATTGAAATGTGTGAAAGTGGGTGACGAGGTCTTCCACTCCCGAGTAGAATGAGATTCGGAAGGCCTGTACCTCTTTTTCAGGTCAGTAGAATCGGATTCGGCTGGTGAATGGTCCCGATTGTACCTTTCCCCAGGTTGGTGTCCGAATCTGATTCTGCTCTTCCTCGATCCGATTGACTTTTTGAATGAGGAGGCGGATTGTAGGATCCGTAGGAGGGAGGTTGGTCCCGAAGGGTTCTGCCGTTAGGGGGCCAGTTGGGAGGCGACCCTCGTGTCGTTGTGCCTCGTGGCCCACCGTCGAACGTTCTTGCCGTCGATCGTTCCTTCTGGTCGATCCGAATGTCGTCGACTGGCGTAAGAGTGTCGTGCGGAGGGAGGTTGGAATGTAGTCAGATTCGTCTGTCTCCTCTAGGCTGATCACGTCGTACCTCCGTCAAAGGGGAGATTTTGGTCCGAGTACGTCCAGATGCTGATCGTTGAGTTTTGCGTAGACCGTTCTTGTCATCGATCGTTGATTCTGTCGCGGCAGTCGGAGTAGACTTGGTATTCCCGGTGGTGCTCTGCCGAAGTTGGCACGAACAGTCTTCGGGAGGCAGACGGTTCACCCCGAGCTAGCTGCTTTCCAGCCTTTCGATTGTTAGGCCTAGATACACTCTTCAGTGATCGTTCCTACCGAAGCTGCGTGGTTTGTTCAAAACCGTCTGGCAGTTGGGCTGAACATGATTGTTGCTCGTGAAGCTGTTTCTGGGTGTCGTCCAGTTTGGAGGAGAGGATATTGTTGTGCTCCTGCATCCTGATCATTTCCCGCTGCAGGGCTTCCATCCTATCTTCCAGGGTGCTTTGCCGACCAGACGTTTCCACTCGGGGTGTGCCGGGTGGTACAGCAGGGTTCTCTCAGTCGGCGAGGCCGAGGATGGGACTGTCGGCCGCAAGGGGCGAAGGCGGGTTCATAGTTTAGAGCAAAAGGGAGATATGGGCTGATCGTCAATCGGCTTCCCACATACGGCACCAATCTGTTCGCGCTAAATCTGAACAGATAAGAGTTTAGGCTAACTTACAAGTGTGCTGATGGTTGAGGATTGGAGTGACCTTCTTCCGTGATGTCCGAAGGTTTGAGCAGGGGCTGGATCCGAACTGAGGAGGGAATACCGGTGTGGTACTTGCCGAAGGCACTCCGATGCCAAAGTCAGTAACTAAGAGCGATTCTATTGACAGTGGAAGCACTTAGTCGAGTCAGAAAGTCTTACCACTTGGCCGAGCCAAGGGGCTCTATTTATATAGAGCATTTGTGATGCTCTTAGCACTTAGTTTCGATGTGGGACTCGTAGGAGTGTCTTCGGAGATCGACACGTGCTCAGACAGGTTCCGGCAGAAGTTCTGAGGTAATCTGATAGAATTGGATTGACGTGATGGTTGGTCGCTCAGTAGACCATGCCGAAGGTTAGTGAAGGGACTGATGGTGCGTAATCGACCCCCTGAATCGGTACAGCGTGCCGAAAGAACATTCGGTATGGCCCAGTTGAGCTGGTCTCGGCTTTGAGGGTGTTCCACGTGTCATGAATTGAGTGGGCGGTCAGACATGGTACAAACAAGTAACATGCACAAGATGAATCTTTGCAATATAGTTCAAAAGAAGAGGAAATATGTGGGCCACCCTAGCTTTTCTTCACATGCCCTTCACCTTCGGCACCTTTGGTGAATATTGATTTGCATTTCTTAGCTTGTGTCTTTATTTTATTCCCATATGCCGATATATATATATATATATATATATATATGTTACAAGCCCACTATTCTATTGTTAAATCAATATATCAAAGGGATTCAACATGCTGAAGACACCTACTTTGTCAAAGTCTTACAAAAGACTTACATCCAAGAGCCAACTATAAAAGGGAACAAAGGCAAAACTGCATGACTACCGTTTGGTAGTCATTCCCCACCGACCCATTAGGGGACTTGCCCTTTTATCTGTCGTATGGAAGCTTCTGACTGCTACCATCTTTTTTTTTTTAATCCTACACTTGTCACTTGGAAAATGCTACTGTCATACCCCTCAAATTTTGGGAAATCTTTCAAAAAGAACCAAACGGCACCCAAGCTCAACATCCATATCGAAGATGACAATTATTGATCGGCACCCATATCAGTGATTCCTTCAAGGCACCCAAAGACCCAAGTCAAGGATGAAAGCCTGTGTTCATAGCTAGCAAATCAAATTACCGTTCGGCACTGGCTCTATTCTCTACCAAAATCTTTCAAGCCATCCAAATGTTCTAAACGACATTACCGTTCGGCACCAGTTCCTATGCTCAAAGCAACCATGAAGCTCTGTTGCACCACCATGCTGGTCAGAAGCTCTCTAATGAATGGTCTATCCGAATGGCAAAGCGCAGACACAAACGTGCCTTGACCAAACCTTGCTGAACGGCACAGTCAGCCTACCGAACCATGTGGAATTCATCACCAAAATCTAAATGAGCAATTTGGAAGTATTGTACAACAAAATGGCTATCATCTACACCTCCAGTTTCAGCAGCCACCAATTTGAAAGGATATCAACGAGCACGTCACGATCACATTCTCCTAAAAAGATAAGTGGAATAGTCCTTATCTTTTTTATCTTTTCGTTACTTTGTTGAGATCTTATCAGGCTCACTTGTGGTGCTGAATATTGCCCATTTTTTGTGGTCCAGAATATTGTCATTTTTGGATGGCTTTACATGCACCAGCATATGTATTACGGCACATGGCAAGGAATATTCGAGCCAATATCTCCTACAGCCCTCCACACACCCACCTTCAAATCGGTGGCTATCAAAGAAAAATATAATAAAGAAGTTGCATGCCCTTCCCCCAGTCGGCATCTCAAAACAAATACCCATGGCGAACAACACACCTCATTAAGAAATTCAAGAATTTTCTATGGATACCCATACACCTACTGTTCGGTAGGACACGATTGAGCTAAGTAACGTGCCCAGACCTCCTGCTGATTGGCAATTCAATACATTATGCCTCACAGTTAATGACAGCCCCTGTCATGGCTCCAAAACCTTCTGAACTTGCTGGAGTTGATTCATCTTCAGCTCACTCCATCAAAGCCCCTGTCACTTGTCTTACCGTTTGGCAAATCAAGATAATTGAGCCAACAGACTCCATATTCGGCAATTGCTCCAACAGAAGCACCACTCAGCCACGCACGGGGAGCCACCTCTCCGTCAGTACCCCTATGACATGCCCATCTGGAGCAAACAGAGAAAGAATAGGGGAGGACCGTGTCATCCCCATCGGCACATCTCATCAATTGAGACAGAAGCCAATCTCTAGGTGTCTTCATAAAATGTGGGAGCCCCCATCCGACCTCCAAAACCATCGGCAACACCCTTACCGAACGGTAGGGTGGCGCCAAATCGCAAAGGATAAAGTTTCCATACCTGGTGAAACGACAAAGTTGACGACAAATAGGACTTTCAATGTCAAAACTTCTCTCTGTCAAAAGCTCTCAAGACTGTTTGTGCCTAATAAATCACGGTCATAAACTGACCGAATGGACCTCCTCTCGGCCCT